ACATCTGAGCACACACCTCAGGATTCTGAAACTTACTGAAATGCTGAGGCATTATCCGAGCTGCTACCACAATCCCATTTCTAGGGCCTCCTCTTGGGAGAACCTCCCAGCCATCACTGCAGAAAAAATGGCAGCAGATGCTGAAAAAGATGCTAATGTAGCGGCTGGATGCAAAAATCACATTGGTGGGCAAGCAAAGAGTAAGATCAAGAATGAGCGAGTGGGCAGGCAGAGGAGGCAATTGGCCATCACCCAATCCCTGCTAACCACAGAGAGATGGTTCTGCAGCGTTTGAGTAGCTGAATATTTCGTACGTAACACAAGGCCACGGAGTGAGTCTGAGCGTGTTATAACTGCCACACACACAACAAGGAATGATGCTCCTGGCCACTGGGCCGGGCACCAAGGTGCTGAGACAAGGGGAAGGGGCCAGAGGAGAGCTTGCCCCGGCATATCAAACTAGGCTTTTCAGGCTGCACTTCTGTGTGTCATTCTCCAAGGTGGCTGGCCGCATCCTCATTGGGCTCTGCCCCGTTTCATCAGCCACTCAGCGTCAGTCCCCTTGCTGGGTAACCTTGGCAACAGGCTCCTCCACTCCTGATGGACCAGGACGCTGCATTTTCCTTCTCCCAGGCAGCAGTTCACATGCCTCAGCCATTGGCACGTCATCACCGATTCCAGCCCGTCCTTGCTCGCTAAAGGGCTGGCTTACACCGCAGCACTTCTCCCCTGGGAGATCTGAAAGGCTTTTAGCTCCGTGGCAGCATTAGCTCCTGGTGCTCCCGGGTTTCCTGTAATTTTCCCCGGCAGCCCTGCCTGAAACGCCCTGTTAGTTCCAGCCCACTTGCCAGTCCAAGCTCTCGTACGCTCTGAGCAGCTCTTTGTAAAGCCACATTGGCTGCTGCTCTTGCCCCACATTTTTCTGTAGCCGGGCGTTGCTCGGCTGGGCCTTCGTTAGCACAGCTGCAGGTGCCAGCCCGGTTCATGACATTTAAAAAAAAAACGTCTATTCATTACACTTCACCCATAAGCACAGCAGTGACCCTATGGGCAGGTCTGCTGTAGCCGCTACCTATGCTGACAGGAGGGCGTCTCCCATTGGTGTAGGTACACTACCTCCCGGAGAAGAACAGCGCCTGTCTACACCGGAGGTGAGGCCGATTTCACTGTGTGGCTCGGGGGGAGGGGAAGGAGAGGATTTTTCACTCCCCTGAATGATGTCATTCTACCAAGCTAATTTCCTAGTGTAGCCCTGGCCTAGGTACCAAGAGGTGACTTCAGTTATTTAGATTGGAAAAAAAGCCCCCCATGCACTTGGGAGGTGAGTGCTCTAATCACTGGCCTTTCGGGGCTCTTGGGACTGGACTCAAGCTCTCTTGTTGAAGCTGTTCCACTTTGTGACACACGTTTTAACAGCGGGTCACACAACTGTTTGTTAGCACTAGAACGTTCGCTAACAGCCATGCTGGGTTTCTAGTCCTGGTTCTGGGACAGGAGTGGAGTCTAGGGGTTACAGGCTAGCCAAGCATCAATTCAGAGGTCTTTCAGCACGGCAGCATGGCTGAGATTGGCTCTGTCAGTAGAGAGCGGGGTTCCCCTTCCAACTATGTCAGAAGTTATATTGGCTTCTTGCCTCCTACCAATAGTAAGGGTACGTCTTCACTACCCGCCGTATGGGCGGGTAGCAATAGATTTATCCGGGATTGATATATTGTGTCTCATTAAGACGCGATATATCGATCCCCGAACGTGCTCACTCTCGACTCCGGAACTCCACCAGAGCGAGCGGCGGTAGTGCAGTCGACAGGTCATCGATCCCGCGCCGTGTGGACCCCAGGTAATTCGATCCAAGATACTTCGACTTCAGCTACGCTATTTGCGTAGCTGAAGTTGCGTATCTTGGATCGACACACCCCCCCCCCCCCCAGTGTAGACCAGCCCTAAGTGTTGTTGCATGTACAGCAATGCTGACGGTGAGAGAAATGAGATGTGGTCTCCTGGATCCCAGCGTAAGGTATTGTCTCCTGGGCTACAGGGTGTTTTGGAGGGGAATGCTCACACACATCACACAACAAATTGTCATTTTGCCTATCTGGGTCCCAGGAAGACAGGACAGCCTCCTGAATTTAGGGACCGACTTGTGAAATTTGAGAGTGGTGGCAACCTTATTGTAGTGTAACACATCTGCCAGCCCTGGAGTTGCCAGCAACAAGGGCCGGGTTCAGTATCTAGCGATTCCTTTTGACAACACAACACAAAACTCGAGCCCTCCCGCCCCCCTCCCCCCAGTAATGTGGGAAAACTCCACTCCACTCCTGGGTGCCTCTAAGAGGCAAGACTTCCCCTCTTGCAAGCACTAAGTCTGTGTTTGGAAAAGAAAACGTTTAATAAAAGAGGAAAGAATCTGGCATTAATTTGGGAAATCCCCACAAGCATTATTCGAAAACATATGACCATGAGCAGAACACCCACCCTAGAGTACATTGGGCAGTGTCCTTTTCCTCAGTCTCTCACCTTGTGGTATGAAAGGCCGACAAACAAATGTCCCTTTAACATGCCACTCCCCTCTCCCTCCACCACACCCTGCTCACAGTTGTTGTCTTTGATCAGCAACGACCCAGAGTTCTGAGGTGCGGGGGAAGGAAAGGCGTCAAGCAAGACCTCAGCGGCTGTCACCGGCTGCTCTGTTGTCATTCACTCTGCCACTGCCTTCTCTACTGCAGCCTCTGAGATGTGTTGAGGGCCCACCACTTACCACAGCTCTCAGTGATTTCCGCTGTTCCTGGGGGAGTCTCACTGTTAGTGCAGGCTGGGCAGCCTCTTTCACCCGAGACACTGTCCCAAGCAGGTCTAAGGCTTACCGCTTCAACCAGGTCATCACTGATTTCAGCGCTACAACAAAAGACTCTGAATTGGGTCTTAATCAGCTCTGTCCTTAAACAGTGGAGAGGGGGTGGGTCAAGTGGTGGCTAGGGCCCTTAGAGCCCACACGACAAGGCAAAAACACCTGTCCTCACCCTCTCTCATCTCCACTGGGCTTTGGCACCCCTCCTCCCTGCTGAGGGAGAACCCCTCCATCAGGGCCTGCCCGGCACAATTCTGCTGCCCCTTTATTCACACAACAAGGCTGACACTTGTCACAGAGTGATTTGCCATCCAACATCAGCCAGAAGTGATCGTCTGGCCCCGAACAGCCCCACCATGCTGTGCACCTAGGCGGAGTGGGCATGTCTATGCAAACAAGGTCAGTCCCTGAAGTCGTCTTCCCCAGCTCCCCAGTTAGCCGGGGAGAGCTCATTCAGACCCCGCTTACAGTAGGGTGTAGGAACTGGGTAGCATCCTTTTAACTATTCTGTGGGTCTTCTGGTGGCCCTCATTGGCTTCTATATTTCAGCCTCAGAACCCTGCCAGAGCAGCTGTGTTTGTGTAACTACGACTGTGTATAGTTCATACACATGGTTATTTGGACTGCACTGTGGCCGTGTGGTTCCTTTATATTACATATGTGCTGACACAACATCTATCCACGGTTCTCTGACAGCTGTATGCAACATGTACCCAGACCCCTGTGAGCCCACATATGTACACACCACGTTCCCAGTCCAACTGGGCCTCCATCTGCAACGTATACCAAGATCCAGTGTACCCCAACCAATGCAGACCATCTTCCCAGCTTCAGGATGCATGTCCCCAACCCCCTTGGCAACCTGACATACCGTGTTCCCAGCCTCTGGGCATGCCCACCTCTTTCCCCAGCCCCGCCATTACCAATATGCATTGCACATACAGATGTTCTGTCGCCCAGCACATCTGTGTACCAACCGCCATGTGCCCCTGTTCCCTTGCACTCAAAGGCACCATGTACCCAGCTCCTGCCCCCATATGAATAGCTGCTCTGCACCTTGGCCTCGTACACACTTTGTCTCCAGCCCCTGGGCACCCCAGGGCCACACGCAGTGTATCCAGCCCTGTACTCCTGGGGCGCAGATACGCTCTATGTCCCATCCTTACCCCTGCGCTGAGCCTTTTGCCCTGGCAGTGCCGTTCTGTTGTGATCAGTGCTCTGTAGAATGGCCCCAGCCGATGTGCTCCATTTCCAGGTTTGGTCCGTCTGCTGGCCCTGCCGGGTGCTCCTGGAGGGGAGAGTTGTGCTGGGCTTGCCCCATCTTCTGCATTAGCCCCAGTAACATACTTAATAATCCCATTGTGCTGATGCCTGGACTAGACTACACTCGACTCCCTCCCAGAGCTGCGCTGCCCTATACCGGGGTGGCCCTTGCTGGGCAGAAGCCAGAGGCGACATGGGTGTGTGGTCACATGGGGTCACGTGCCCCCCAGATTTTTGCCAGGGTTTGCCGGCCCCACTTGGTCACATGGTACCACTGGGTCCCCTCCCTCCACAGCAGCTGCTGAGGGTGGCAAGCTGTGAGCTGCAGCTGTGGGGAGAGCTGCTGCGTTTGCTGTTGCCTCAACAGCTGGGAGCTGCAGGGAGGGGCCACTGAGGATGGGGGGGGGCGTGACTCAAGCTGTTGGAGGGCAAACTTTTAAATTGTGCCACCCCCAGCCCCGCTCTCAGCAGGCACCAGTTGTCTCTGGCAGAAGCCCCTAGCCCCACCAACGCCGCAGGGCAGAAGCCCCGAGCCTCCCCCCTCACCAGCCTGGTAGGCAGAGGGGCGCGGGGGGGCGCTGCGAGCCCCACTTTAACTGTAAAAGAGCTCACAAGCTGCAGTCTGGCCACCCCGGCCCTCCGGGGATAACCCTTCTGCGAGGGTCCCTAGCTCGTCTGACGGCAGAGGCCTGCAGGGCTGCTCCGACACCCCCCCTTCCAGGCAGAGATGCAGCCGCACTTGGGTGCCGATCCAGCCATGCCGCTAACGAAGGAGGAGCCTGTCCCTGACACCTGGCCCCCGCCTTCCCTCCCACCACCCCTCACCGGGAACAAGCAAAACCAGAGCCACGGGAGGGGATCGATGCCTCCCGCCCAGCCCTGCAAGCCCGGCCCCTTCCCAGCACCAGCGATGACACAAATGGACCACTGGGCTCTGCTCCAGCAGGCCTGATGGAGGCGTGAAAGGGCAGAGGCCCCGTTCCTGCCCCAGGCACGGCAGGCGGGAGGGAGCGGAGCGCTTCGCAGTGACCTTGGTCACCCTCCTGCATTAGAACAGGACTGCTCCGCGCCCTGGCTGTTTAGCAGGCTGTCTCTATGGCTACCGGAATAAACAGCAGATAATAGCGCAGCCGCCTCCGAGCAGCACTGCAGTCTGCAGACCAGGAGGGAGCAGGGCTTCTCCGGGTCGCCGGCCGCAGCTCAGCAGAGGCACTTCAGGCGGTAAGTCAGCAGAACAGCAGGCGGATGGGCTGCTTCTGCAGGAGGAGGGGGGTGCGGGCGGGCTGGCAACACGGGGGGTCTTGCTCAGTGCACTGGCTGCCTGGATTGGCATCACTGACTGGTGGCTAATTCCCCCCATCTGGGGGCGCAGAGCAGGGAAGCGAGCTGGCCTGCCTGCCCGGGGGACTAGGCCTGTGGGGGAGCACTGGGCTGATGTGCAGGGATGGAGGGAGCTGGCTTGGAGCTCATCTGCAGCGATCGGCGTGTGCCGCTTCCAGGGACTCAGCTCACTTGGGTGAAAAGGAGGGACACGCCCTGCAGAGCAGGCTGGCTGGCTGCTCCCCCCCGAACAGCTTTGGAGATGGGGTGCTCCCCCATCGGCACCTCCCGCAGCATCGGTGCTGCCTTCAGTGCATCACATGGCGCAAGCCATGCACCATGCGTGGGACCAGAAAAAGGAAATGCCCACGACAGGCACACTGCAGCACGCCCGTCCCCCATGCATCGCCCCCGGCCACACCCGTACCCTGCATCCACCTGCACATTCCCCTCGGCCCTTACACACGTCCCCCCGTGCAAACCGCAGCAATGATACTTAGCACTTTTCATCCCTAGGTCCCAAAGCACTTTACAAAAGAAGGGACGTACCCAGCCTCCATTTCACAGCTGGGGAAACTGAGACCAGAGATGAGCCAGGATCACCCAGCAGGCCAAAGGCAGAGCCAGGAACAGGACCCAGGTCTCCTATCCCAGTACTGCACCCGAGCCACTAGCAGGCTTCCCGCACACAAACTTAAGACCTGCTCCGGGGCGCGGTGGCCTGTGGTGTTCTGGGGCTTGCCCCCCCCTTATGCCTCTGTGAATTCACTGAGCGCTCCCTGGAGAGGGCAGGACCCTGCGTGGTTCCTCTCTCAGGGCGTGGCACTGTGTCCCACGCTGCTCAGTATTGTCACACGGTGTCTGCGGTGCTCAGGGATTCAGAAATAACTCGTAGGTTTGTGTCCTGCTGGCAGCTTCTTCCTCTTCCCACCTTCCCCTCCTTGCAATCCCTATGCCCCCTGCTCACCTGCAAACCCACGCTGGATATACGCTCACAGCCTGGAAAGGGGGACGGTCAGATTAGCTGTAGACGCTACTGACCCGAGCGCTGGCATGACTGGACTGAGCAAGGACCTCTCCACCGACAGCGGATACAGCCTGGCAGCAGCAGGACTCACATCGCCCCCTGCCACCCCTCCGACCCCCCTCTCCCACACTGTCCTGCCCCTGGAGGGACTCCTCCTGGCAGGGATGTTGGCATGGGCAGTCTCTGGGGCCCTGCCAGTCCCGGCTAGCTCAGGGCTAATTGTGATAGTGAAAGAGAAGGCAGAGCCAGAAGGGGTGGCTTAGTGGTGTATCAGGTGTGAAATATCAGGTTATGATCCCTGGCAAATCAGGGCCCACGCCTGGCTGGGAGACCAGCTCTTCCCAGGTGCTGTGTGTAGCTTCCAGGCTAGACAGGGGCTAGTCTGCTCAGCACAGACGGTAGTGCCCATGGCGCTGTGCAGAAGACCTGGGGGTTGGACTAGCTGCCCTGCAGTGTGGCCCCCGGCTTGCACGCAGCTGCATTGCAGTGGGGCTGGATGGGGATGATGTGTCCATTAGCCAAACCCTGGCCATCAACTCAGTTCAGCAAGACCAAAGTTGCCTGAGCCAAGGAGAGGGACACGCTGGTTAGGCCCACTTCCTGGGAGAGAGAGAATCGGTGCCAAGAGCCTTCTCTGGGCCCAGCCGCCGTGGGAACCCGGCTCCCTTTGGCTGCGTCATGCTGCTTTGCTGGCAGGTTACGCGCACACTGATTAATGGCCTGCAGCTGTTTCTGCTGCAGCAGCCCGAGTGGATTCCCATTGGGAAGGCCAGACGCTATGAACTCCTTCCCTGGGCCCTGGCAGGAGCGCACCAGAGCCGCCAGGCGCCTGAAATAGACAAGAGGGGGAGTACCACAACTCCTGATTGTGGCCACACCCGGATCTTGGGCATGGCTGCCAGCTCGTCAGTGTGTCTCTGTGCCCGTGTGTGTGTCTCTATGAGGCTGTGAGTGGCTTTATGTGCCAGCCTAGGCTTTTCCCCCTGCAATTGCCCCATTGCCAGCCTCAGGCCAGCTGCCCTGATGGGGGCCTTGGTGCTGCCAGGCTGCCTGGGGGGTGAGAAGACATGAGGCCGCCTGGAGCCCTGGTTCGAGCAGCGTTGTAAGGGAACTGAGGCCCGTCTGGCTGCTGTGCAGTGTAGCTGTAGCCGTGCCGGTCCCCAGATATTTGGGAGACAAGGTGTGTAATGTAACAGCGTGAATAGCTGGGATGCTGGCAGGACCCCTCCCAGACCTGAAGACGAGCTCGGTGTGACTCCCAAGCTTGTTCTCTCAACAACAGAAGTTGGCCCAATACCAGCTATGACCTCACCCACCCTGTCGCTCTGGACTCGGTGCGTATGCGAATAGTCCAGCCCCGCCATGCCTCCCGCAGCAACAGCTCCAAGCAGCACAGCCCTCCCTAGCAACGGTCGCCAGGCAGCGCAAACTCTGGCCACGCCAGCCGACAAGCCCACACGCCTGTTTTTGTTTAATGTCAGACTGTAACTAGGGCCCGGGGCTAGGCAATCCCCTCAGCCCGGCAGGCCGGGTGACTCTGCCCTGTGGCTGGGTGTGTCCAGGGACCTGGAAGAGAGCAGGGGTGGGGTGGGGTGGAGCTGGGAGCTTGCTGGGTTAAGGCATTTCAAAACAGACCAGTGCTGCTGGCTCCCCAGTTGGCGACAGCTTAAAGGGTCCCGAGGTTCAGAAGATGCTGCCCCCCCCATCTGTAAACCAGGCCCCTGTATGGTGTCCCAGGCTGGGCCCACAGACCCCCCAGTCCCTGGTGAAAGGCTTGGCCCTGACGCTCAATGACAGACCTGCAAGCGCTGAAGTACTTTGCCCAGCTGTGGCCATTTTGATATACTGGGGTCCCTCCACCCCCTTTTCACACAGGTTGAAGCACTTGCTCTGTTCCCACTCACCTGCACACTGTTCCCTGTGCGGTGCCAGACTCCCAGCACAGAGGGCTGCCAGAGGCAATCACCCTGGTGCCAGCGCCTGACAAGCGCCCAGTGCCAGCCCCTATGGAGGTGCCGGGATGACCTGAAGATGCTGACCTGTGCTTTGCTAATGCATAGAGGTGGGAGAGGCCTGTGAGAATCAGAGTGGCCAGGGAGTGTGAGGTGGCCACAGGCGCTGTGAAAAGCGAAGGGGAGTCACCGGATGTTAACTGCTACGTGGCGGATGGCCGTTGTGGAGTGCCGGGCAGTTCCTCCCCTGCTCATGGCACTGATGTGCTGGCTTCAGAGATGCTGATCAGGGAAAACACGTCTCTTTAGCGCAACCAGTTTAGCTGTGAAAAAGTCTCTTGGTGACAGCTTTCCAAGGGGATTACTAACCGTAGGAGTCAGGCACGGAGGCGACTGCCAAAGGGAGAGGATAACCTGATATTGACGAGAAATGTTATCAGCCAGGGCAGCGCTGTCTGAAGGAGGAGGAAAAGAAGCAATGTTACATCAGTCTCAATGCACTGAGCCAACACTCCCACTACAGCGCTGCCAATGGCCCTCTGTCCTGACCCACAGTGCCAGCCTTGGGGCCCATACACAGCTCCCCAGTCCCGACCCACAGCGCCTCTGCTATTCTAGCCCTGGGACCCACACGCACAGCGCTCTACAAACGCCCCCCAAGCCTGATCTTCAGCTCCCACTGCTCTCCTAGTCCTCGGCTCCCCACTTCCACGTCTGCCGGTGCAGCTTAGTTGTGAAGGGGCCGGGCTTTTGTGGGAGGCAGCGGTCTAAGGGGTGTTGCAGGGTGCAGGGGTGCACAGATGGTACGCACAGTATCTGGTGTGATTGCTGGAGTTTGCGTAGTAACTGGATCCATTTTGTCTCTGCTACCAAAGGTCAGCATGGCTGGAAGCACTGACGTGGCAGCGCTGGAAGAGAGCTTCCGGAAGTTTGCCATCTATGGAGACACCAAAGCTACAGGGCAAGAAATGACTGGGAAAAACTGGGCCAAACTGTGCAAGGAGTGTAAAGTAATGGACGGCAAAGGGGTCACCGGCACAGACGTGGACATCGTCTTCTCCAAAGTGAAGTAAGTGGCTCCCTCGCTTCCCTTCCCTACAGCCGGCTCTACATCAGCGGCTGGCTCCTGGAGTTCAGTAGGGCCAGCACCGCCAGGCCACCCTGCTGGGTCGCCCATGGGCGCATTCCCAGGTCATTCATTTCAGCCCCCTCCAGCCCTGTCAGACTCTGCATGGAGCTTAGAGGAGCCTGGCATCCAGGACAGAGTTTCTTGTCCACCAGAGACCGGCCACCAGACAACCCTCCCCACATCTCACTCCTGGCTATTTGCAGCACATTGTTACATGGCTGCTCAGCTTTCATATAGACACACACACGTTTCTAGCCTCACTGTTGGAAAGAGCCTTGACTACGTGACCCGAGTGAACGGTGCAGTGACACCTGCCTGAATCTCGCAAGCGCCTGAAACATTGGCTCCGAGACGGGTAAACGGCCCCATTTAACTCAATGGGCTGTTAACCCCGTAACCGAAACTGGCCATTTCAATAGACATGTGAACGATTGCGTTGCTGATCATTTGAGCAGAACCAGTCAGCTCGCATGCTTATCCCACACACCCAACCTGCCCTTCACTCCTCCCAGAGCCAAAAGTCCCAGCTTTGCCCTGACAACGTCGGCGGGGCAGTTACTCGCTCCCCATTAAGAAATCTATGGCATCTCGACACCTGGAAGTTTGGGGCAACCACTTGAGACTATAAAGAAGGTGTGGGGCTGCTGGATTATTCATCGGCACATCGGATTCTGCAGGAACCTCGATTTGAATAGATCTGAGGCTGCTGCAGAACACCCGGAATCGGCCGTAGAGTCTGCCAAACCCACAGCCCGTGCAGCGGAGTTTGGGAGGGGCTGTCCGCAGAGTGCGTGGGGCCTTCGATACTGGTTACTATGTACAGATGATGCCAGAGAAGCCCTGGGCTATATCCACAAAAGGGAATTCGCACTGTGACAGCTCTGAGGTAGGCGTGCAGGGACGGGGAGAGTTAGGGCTTGTCTACGCTTAAAATGCCGTGCTGTGCCGCTGTACCTGCACTGCGGTAGAGCTGCAGTGTAGACACTGCCTGAGCAGATGGGGATTCTCCTGGCGTATGCAATCCACCTCCTTGAGAGGCGGTAGCTAAAGTGACGGAAGAATTCTTCCAGCGACATCTTGAGGTATCGCCTCTTGAGGAGGTGGATTACCCACCACGGGAGAATCCCGCCCATCTGCACAGGTAGCGTCTACACTGAACAATCCTTCTGTCAACCTAGTGCCGTCTCCAAAGAGACGAGGCTGGCTTAACCACGCCACTCGGGGGTGTGGCTTTTTCACACCCCTGTGCCACGTAGTCATGCTGACTTAATTGTCTAGTGTAGACAAGGCCTTAGGTGCTTACAGACGGGATCCACAAAAGCCCATATGCTCAGCAGGGAGCTGCCTAAGCTAGACAGCAGGAAATGCTGAGGAGAGGGGTAGGAACTAAGCCCCGGCTGCTTCCGGGTATTAGGAGCCTAACTGGGGGCTGCTCAGGATTCACAGCCATGAACCCTCTCCGGAAGTTAAGCACCAAACCAGGTCACTCCGTCCTTTCTTGCAAAAAATCAAGCCAGCGCCCCTCCTATAAGCAATAGTCCAGAGGCTGGAGCACTCAGCTAGGCTGTGGGACACTGACTTCAAATTCCCTCTCTGCCGTTACGGTGTGAAGACGTGAGCCCAGAGCTCCTGTGCCTCCCTGGGGAGTGCCCTAGCCACGGAGGTATGGGGTGCGCTGGAACCAGGCTCCTGTGGGCTCTTGTAACACGTTATGTAAAATACTCAAACAGTCACTTGAGCGGGGACTTCAACTTGAGGCTCTGCTCTCCCAGCTGCAGGCCCTAACCCCCAGGCTACAGCACCATTCTCATCGCCTGCGGCCCCCTGCAGACCCCCATGAAATCTCACGTGATGAGTAAGTCCCTCTCCTCTGCCCTCCCTCCCTGCTGTCCTGCAGTTCCCTGGGAACAAGATTCTGCCCATCTCATAAAGTATTTAACCCTAAATGTGACCGGGCTGCATTGCTGCTGGCTCAGTGGAGCCAGGGTTGGGGATGGGTAGATGGAACAGGGATGTTTGCCTGGAAACAAGAGCTTGTCCAGCGACACGGCCCTCGCCTGCAAAGGGGTTACGGCCTGCCAGGGACCGGCTCCTGCAGGCGCATCTTGGACTACAGGGCCTCACAAATAGCCCCCCCACATCCACGTTGACCCGGGGCTGGATGAGGTCGCACTCTGAGGACAAGGCCTTGACCCTAAGGATTAACGGTCAATGAACAAGAACTTGGTGTGTCAGGTCTTGTGTCTCCTGCACTCTCAGCCAGAGCTAAGATTCTTCTCCTCTGTTCTGTAGAACAGCTGCCAGGTTCTGCTCAGCCGTGGCTGCCTTTCTGGAGGAGGGATCCCTGTGTCCCTGAAGCAGTTCTCACCTCAACTATTTCAGTAACGGGTGCATCAAACGTTCCTCTTTTCCCTCAAAGACCACCTGTCTGGGTAGCAGGGCTGGTCACCTGGGGCTCCCTGCCACAGCTGGGAATACAAGTGCCATTTGCAAATGCAGCCCCGGGCTCTGTCTTGCAGCAGCTACCCTTCTAGTGAAGTGTTTGCACTAGGTCACGCCCCAGCCCTTGTGTCTTGCAGAGGGAAGACAGCCAGAGTCATTGGTTACGAGGAATTCAAAAAGGCCCTAGAGGAGCTGGCCCCAAAGAGGTTTAAGGGCAAGAGCAAGGAGGAAGCATACGAATCCATCTGCCAGCTGGTGGCAGGGAAGGAACCGACCAACGTAGGCGTCACTGTGAGTGATTGCTCTTCTCGGACAAGTGGAGCAGGAGTGGGGGGTGGGGGGCCGGGCAAAGACGGTGGGGTCTGTCTGCGGCTATGCAGATGCTGCTCTGGGCCACTGGGAGCCCCACAAATGTCACATAGCAAAGCAGTGTGTCCTGGAAGAGGCAGGGATCTGGGGGGGCTGTGACAACTTAAGGGCAGGGTCCTGAGCAGTGGGGACAGCATGGGGTCCAGAGAGTGCATGGGGAATGGAGGTGTCTGGAACAATGAGGGACAGGTGGGGGAGTGGGCCAGCGTCATGGTCTGTGGGGGACTGACAGGACAGGGCCTGGGGAGGCCACATGGGGGACGGAGGGGCCTAGGACAAGCACGTGGGGGATGGAGGGGCCTGGAAGGGCACGTGGGGGATGGAGGGGCCTGGGAAGGGCTATAATTGCTTGTGTTTGACTCCCCTGCCCCATTTCTTGCTGACAGAAAGCCACAACTGGCGGGGCGGTGGACAGGCTGACGGACACCACCAAGTACACGGGCTCGCACAAGGAGCGCTTCGATGAGAGTGGCAAGGGCAAAGGGAAGAGCGGGCGGGAGAACATCGTAGACACCAGCGGCTATGTGGGGGCCTACAAGAATGCTGGCACCTACGACGCAAAAGTGAAGAAATAGGGACAACTGGAAGTGCCACCGACCCTCCCAGGTCCAGGCACCCCACAGCCTCTGGGCCTTCAATCACATCAGCCTTGGGAACTGGCCTTAATGGCACAGGCCTCCTGAGACTGTGCTGGGCCTAGCTCCTAGCCACGGAGCCAAGGCTGATAGGCCTCTTGTCACCAAGGGCTGATGTGATTAGAAACTGACCTGGCCTTGCACTTTGCTCCCAACATTACATCAGCTCCAGATGTATTGTGAGCCGTGTCCCTCCTGCTAGCGCTAACGAGACCTTCTCTCCCGTGCGCCCCCAGGGCACCACGCCCCTCCTGCTAGCGCTAACGAGACCTTCTCCCCCATGCGCCCCCAGGGCACCACGCCCCTCCTGCTAGCGCTAACGAGACCTTCTCCCCCGTGCGCCCCCAGGGCACCACGCCCCTCCTGCTAGCGCTAACGAGACCTTCTCCCCCATGCGCCCCCAGGGCACCACGCCCCTCCTGCTAGCGCTAACGAGACCTTCTCCTTTAGGCACCCCCAGGGCACCACGCCCCTTCTGCTAGCGCTAACGAGACCTTCTCCCCCGTGCGCCCCCAGGGCACCACGCCCCTCCTGCTAGCGCTAACAAAACCTTCTCCCCTAGGCACCCCCAGGGCACCACGCCCCTCCTGCTAGCGCTAACGAGACCTTCTCCCCTGTGTGCCCCCAGGGCACCACGCCCCTCCTGCTAGCGCTAACGAGACCTCCCCCGTGCGCCCTCAGGGCACCACGCCCCTCCTACTAGCACTAATCCTCATAGAAATGGAAGGCACCTTGAAAGGTCATCAAGTCCAGCCCCCTGCCTTCACTAGGCAGGACCAATTTTTTTGCCCCAGATCCCTAAATGGCCCCCTCAAGGATTGAGCTCACAACCCTGGGTTTAGCAGGCCAATGCTCAAACCACTGAGCTATCCCTCCCCCCAGAGGGAGACCTTCTCCCCCGTGCGCCCTCAGGGCACCACGTCGCTCCTGCTAGTGCCAACCAGACCTTCTCCCCATGCGCCCTCAGGGCACCATGCCCCTCCTACTAGCCCTAATGAAACCTTCTCCCCGTGTGCTCCCAGTTCACCACGCCCCTCCTGCTAGTGCCAACCAGACCTTCTCCTCCGTACCTCTCACAAGGCCGCCACATTCCTCCCACTCGCTGCAATGAGGCCTTCCCTTACTCATGCACTGGGTGCTTGCCTGAATCTCTTCCACTAGTGAGGTCTTCTACTCACTACAGATGCCAATATCCCTCCTGCTAATGACAGATGTGCCTTTTCCAACCCTATGTCCCTTCAGCTAAGGCCAGGTCTACACTAGGAAGTTTGGCTTGTAGAACTATGTCACACAGGGGTGTAAAAAATCTCTCCTCACCCCCAGCGATGCAGTGATGCCAACCTAACCCCCAGCGCAGAGCAGCACTGTCAACGGAAGGGCGTCTCCCATCGACAGAGCTACTGCCCCTCGGGGGGTGGCATACAGGACAGCCGTACCAGTGCAACTTTTAAATGTAGACCTGCCCTAAGATTAACGACACCTCCTCCCCTCTGGGCACATCAGTCACCAGCACTACCGCAGCCCCTTCTCCCCAGGGCACTTCACTCGTCAGCATTAATAGCATCCTGCATGCGCCTTCCCTGGAGAACTGGCCTGCACTGTGTTTAACCCCCACCCCTCGGGCTCCTCCAGCAGCCCCAGGCCCCATCGTTCCCGGCCCAGTCCCCAGACGCCTGCCTTCTTGGTGGAGTCACAGCCAAAGGCCTCCCTGCTCTGTAACCTGGCTCTGCAATAAACCGCCCCCCGTTTTGTACTAGCGCCCCGTGTGTTTTTTCGGAAGGAAACAACGCAGGCAATTCAGGACTCAGGCAAAGGAGGCTGGTTTTGACCCAGGATCAGATCAAAGGGGCCAGTCAGTCGACTTGGCTCCGAGTCAGACGCTAGGCGGGGAGTGGTGTGGGCTTGGCCCTGTCACCTCATGACTTTGGCAAGCTCCTGGCCGCCCTTGTGCCCCAATGTTGCCAGAGCAACCAGAGAGACACACAAACATTCAGGCACCTGGCTCCAGCTGCTGCAGTGTTTGCAACCAAACACATGAGCTCCTGGTAACACTCCCTGGGAACTGGGTCTTAATTGGAACCACCACCTCCCACGGACATGGCCCAGCATCTGCCCCCCCCCCAACCTTGCTGTGCTTTAGACAGGGCTCTAAAGCCTCTTGCACACAGGCCTAAGGCCCAGATCCTCAAAGGCCCCTAACTCCCAGGTGCCTAAATACCTGGGCCTCGGGCTCTGGCCTCGCCCACTGAGAGTGCTGGAATCACCTCCCCTGACTGATGGGTCTCTCTCTTCTGAAGTCAGAGGTTAGAGGAATCCCAGAGCCACCAGGCCAGAGAGGACACCAGAGTGGGCCAGAATATGGAGGTCACCAGAGACCAGGCCTTGGGAATACTGTGTGTCTGCGAGTATTGATGCTCAACTCTCCCATCTCGTCCCGTCTCATGCCACTGCCTCAGGAAGCCACTGCACTGATCAGCTTAGAAAAGAGACCACTGAGGGGGGCTATGATAGAGGTCTATACAATCATGACTGGTGTGGAGAAAAAGTGTTATTTACCCCTTCACCTAACAAAAGAACCAGGGCTCACCTGATGGAATTTATAGACAGCAGGACTAAAACAAACAAAGGGAAGGACTTCTTCACACAACGCACAGTCAACCTGTGGAACTCGTTGCCAGGGGATGGTGTGAAGGCCAAAAGTATAACAGGGTTCAGGAAAGAACTAGATACGTTCATGGAGGACGGGTCCATCAATAGTGATCAGCAAAGATGGTTAAGGATGTTACCCCTGAGTGTCCCTAAATCTCTGACTGCCAGCAGCTGGCACTGGAGAACTGCAGATGGCTCACTTGATAATTGCACTGGTCTGTTCATGCCCTCTGAGCATCTGGCATCAACCACTGTCGGCAGACAGGATACTGGGATAGATGGACCATTGGTCTGACCCAATATGGCTGGTCTTATATCCCCTTTTCCCTGCTTGTGTGCCTTGGAGGAATTCAAGGCACGGAAGCCCAGCTGTGCTGACAAAGCCACTCCTCTGATGCACCACTTCAGCTCACCCAAACATTTCTCGTCTGGATCTTCCCTTCTTATCAGAAACGACGCCTTAGCTGAGTTATTATTTATTTAGCATCTGAAGTGTGCTAGGAACTTTACAGAACAGAAAACACATCCCGGAGAACTCACAGAGAGAACTGTCATCATCCCAATTGAGCTGGGAGGAGCAAGGGAGGAAGCACTGGGGGAAGGAGAGAGGAGCGAGGGAGAAGGGTAGCGCCCCGTGATTCCCTCCTATCTCACAGGCCAGAGTCTCCTGACAACTCTGCAAAACACCCCCGGGGAGCAAGTACCCTACCAACTAAACAGCCTTCTCAACAAGAAGTCAGATTACACTATGTGTCCCAGAGTTCTCTGCAGGTGCCAAGTGCCTCCTGTGGCAAAAACGCGGTTCACCAAGAAGTGTCTGTTTGGATGGCGGAGGCTACTTTAGGATGTTCTATTCTATTGAGGTTCTTATAGGGAGCTCCTGCTAGGAAACTTGCTTGCGTGAGATTTTCTCTCTGAAGTGGTCTAGGGAAGCCCATGAGTTATTGCATGTGCATCCAGACTGAGCCTGTGAACCTGCTGAGGTTTGCCCACCCCTGCAGCATGTTGTGGAAATGAAGTACATAAAGCATGCCCCATATTTCCAATTTTTAGTCACCCATTTAAGTTCTCTTCCTGCAGCTCTACAGTGTCAATGGTTTCAATTTCCATAATCTCATAATTTATGTATGGATAGAATTTCCCTGTGCATCTCGCTCTCTTCTTCTGTCTAAACTATAAAAATGCCCCAAAAGTTGACAGCGAAGAATAACACCTTGTTTTCCTCTGTATAGTGGCCATTGCATCCTGGAGTTCATCAAGTTCACAGGAGAGTGTGAAAACCACAGGAGTTAAGCTAGGTAGAAATAACTTCCTCTACGACCTATAGAAAGAGAAATGTTCTATGGGCAAACTTTCTGATACCCCTAGAAATCCAAGCCAGCTAGCTTTCACCCCAAACTAAGCACTGTAAAGTTGTCTGCCTTAGGGCTGGTCTACATTAGGGGGGCGATCCATCTAAGATACGCAACTTCAGCTACGCTATTCGCGTAGCTGAAGTCGAAGTATCTTAGTTCGACTTACCTGGCCGTCCTCACGGCGGCAAGTTGACTGCCGCAGCTCCCCTGTCAACTCCGTTTACTCCTCCTGCCGAGGTGGAGTACGGGCGTCGATTCGGGGATCGATTTATCGCGTCTAGACGAGACGCGATAAATCGATCCCCGATAGATGGATTACTACCCGCCGATCCGGTGGGTAGTGTAGACGTGGCCTTATGAAGCAGACATACATCTCTTTGTACGCGGTTAACCTGCCTTTTCCCTTCAGAATAATGTCTCGTTGTAGTGTAAGTTCCTCAGTGATGTGAAATGAAAGGTGTGAAATGTAACCAACGAATGAATGGACTCAGCCCACTAAATGTAGAGGAGTGATAAAGGATTTTGTTGGCTTTCTTTCTAGCAATGGCATGAAAAGCATAGCACACAAAGGATGTAAGTTGTAAAGATGAAAGATGTAAGCACCTAACCAGGGTCTAGTTTTGAAGTAGTAAAAGAAATTGCCTAAAAAAGGGGGTATTCCATTTAATAGTCTGGCTAAGACAGAAATACAGTCCTGGAAAACAATGGAACATAAAAAGCTTCTTAATAAGAAAAAGGATAAAAGAAATTTGTTATACACTGTTGCCATCTACTGGATATTGATGGAAGCAGCAGTAAAACAGAGAACAGAAACCAGAGACCCCCTGGCAAGCGTCCAGAAGAAATAAGAGGACTGTTCTCCTCCGACAAATCCCAAAGGAGGGTATATAAATGGAGGTTACAGAGGTGGATCTCAAAATTTTGCTGAACCCCCATGGCTAGCCTCTCCCTTCCTCCAGGGTCACAGGACAAAGAAGAGAAGTTTGCTGAACCCACAAAAGAAGCTACCGAATTCAGAAGTGCTACCAGACACTTGGACCAGCTTCGTGGCCAGCGCTCCCCACTCCTAGGGTTACAGGCCTGAGAAGAAGCAGTGACATGCCATTTCAGAGATTAAGTAACTGAAAGTTTCCTTGCTGAGTCTGCACTTTCTAGTGGGACCCCAAGGAACCATACGTGTGATTTTAACTGAGTAATGCTAGCTGCATAGTGCTCCATTGTAAGTCCAAGTAAACTGGCCCAAGAGACTCTCAAACAACTTTTAAGCAATTGCCTTTGATGTTTTAAATTAGTCCCTTTTATACTCAACACTAGAAAGAGCAGGGATCACATTGCTAAGAGTGCCTTAAGACCCACAGATTACAAGGCCAGAAGGGAACATTGTGATCATCTAGTCCAGCAGTTCTCAAACTTCATTGCACCACGACCCCCTTCTGACCACAAAAATTACTACACGACCCCGGGTTGGGGTGGAGTGGGGGGATTCCGGGGGCCCGAGCCTGTGGCCCCCCCCCCCCCCCCC